TGGAAGCCAAGAAGGTACCTGAAATTGGGTCCTGAAGGATTTGAGTGGATCTGTTGTTTACATAAAGGTTGGGCTACCTGTGCTTTAATTTCTCCATATTCTCATCTACTTGCATAAGAAAGTCTGAATATTTATAAGTACATAAGGTAGAAGTAAAGCTTGGCCAATTTAAGGTCAGTGGGCATGTCATTATGAAGCCTGGACCTATCGGAATTAGTACAAATGCCTTGCATCTGCAAGTCTGAACTTTGGGAGGCTTACAGGAGCCTAGCCTCTATGAAATTAGTCATGGGACGATGGTATTTTTTTGACAGTGTTATTGGAGAGCTTACGCTGTGGGAGATGTGGAGAAAATGGCTCTGGTGAAACTGGCAAAGTGAGTGAAATGCTATTGATATTTCTGTTGGCTATTCTGGGATGTTAGGTCTTGCATGTTCTTAGGGCCTTCTCTCTACACACCATCCTTCATGGGTGTGAGGATGTACCTGCATGTATGAATGCTAGTCTGTGAATTTAGCCATCTTGACTTTAGAGAATGCCACTCTATAGGGGAGAATTGCTTTCCTATTAGGCAAGAATTGAAGAAATAAATGAAATGGAATTTGAGTCAGAAGAGTCTAGGAAAACAACTTTAAAGTACTGATCTATTCCTGATAAGGGCCAGAAAAAAATTATGAATAATTCAGAAATAGTATGCAAGAGTTTCTTAAATGCAATCATTCCTGCTCATCTTTTTCTTTTTCTTTCGTAGAGGCAGAGTCTCACTTTATCGCCCTCAGTAGAGTGCCGTGGCATCGCACTGCTCACAGCAACCTCCAACTCCCGGGCTTAGGTGATTCTCTTGCCTCAGCCTCCTGAGTAGCTGGGACTGCAGGCACCCACCACAAACACCTGGCTATTTTTTTGTTGCAGTTTGGCCAGGGCCGGGTTTGAACCCACCACCCTTGGTATATGGGGCCAGTGCCCTACTCACTGAGCCACAGGCGCTGCCCCATTCCTGCTCATTCTTTTATCATTTCTCAGAAAAAAATCTGAGTTGCGTGGTATCTTTTTTAGTCTTACTCTGGGTATTAACAGAGATTTTTTTTTTTTTTTTGCAGTTTTTGGCCAGGGCTGGTTTTGAACCTGCTACCTCCAGTATATGGGGCTGGTGCCCCACTCCTTTGAGCCACAGGTGCTGCCCCAGAGAATTTTTTTTTTTGAGACAAGAGTATCCCTATGCTGCCCTTGTTAGAGTGCCATAGCTCTTGGGCTTAGGTGATTCTCTTGCCTTAGCCTCCTGAGTAGCTGGGACTACAGGCACCTGCTACAACGCCCGCCTATTTTTTGGTTGCAATTGTCGTTGTTTAGCAGGCCTGGGCCAGGCTCAAACCCGCCAGCCTTGGTATATGTGGCCTTACTAACTGAGCTATGGACGCCGAGCCTAATAGAAAAAAAAATTTTGAGACAGAGCCTCAAGCTGTCGCCCTGGGTAGAGTGCCGTGACATCACAGCTCCAACCTCCAACTCCTGGGCTTTGGAGGTGGTGGGTTCAAACCCAGCCCCGGCCAAAAACTGCAAAAAAAAAGAAGACAACTCCTGGGCTTAAGCAATTCTCTTGCCTTAGCCTCCCAAGTAGCTGGGACTACAGGTGCCCGCCACAACGCCTGGCTATTTTTTGGTTGTAGTTGTCATTGTTGTTTGGCAGGCCTGGGCTGGATTCAAACCTGCCAGCTGTGGTGTATGTGGTTGGCACCTTAACCGCTTGAACTATAGGCGCTGAGCCTAGAGAATTTATTTTTTTGCAGTTTTTGGCCAGGGCTGGGTTTAAACCTGCTACTTCTGGCATATGGGGCCGGCACCCTACCCCTTTGAGCCACAGGCACTGCCCCGAATTTTTTAACAGTATATTATCCAGGCTCGGCACCTGTAGCCCAGTGGTTATGGCGCCAGCCACATATACCAAGGCTGGTGCGTTTGAACCTGACCCAGGCCAGCTAAACAATGACAACTACAATAAAAAGTAGCCAGGTGTTGTGGCGGGTGCCTGTAGTCCCAGCTACTCAGGAGGCTGAGGCAAGAGAATTACTTAAGCCCGAGTTTGAGGTTGCTATAAGCTGTGATGCCACAGCACTCTACCGAGGTTGACATAGTGAGACTCTGTGCCCCCCCCCAAATATATATATTACCCAGATTAAGTATTTACTAACTCTCCATCTTTAATAGCAGAGTAATGATCCTAAATTTTGATAACAATAACCAGCACATCTGGTGGGCACTAATACTTATTCTAGGTTTCAGGATGTTATTTATGTCAAAATGTGTTGAGACAGAGTCTCAAGCTGTTGCCCTGCGTAGAGTGCTGTGGCATCATAGTTCACAGCAACCTCCATCTCTTGGGCTCAAGCGATTCTCTTACCTTAGTTTTTCTTTTTCTTTTTCTTTTTTTTTTTTTGAGACAGAGTGTCAAGCTGTTGCCTAGGTAGAATGCCGTGGTGTCACAAATCACAGCAACCTCAAACTCTTAGGTGTAAGCGATTCCCTTGCCTCAGCCTCCCAAGTAGCTGGACTACAGGTGCCTGCTACAATGCCTGGCTTTTTTTGTTTGTTTATAGTTATCATTGTTGTTTGGCAGGCCTGGGCTAGATTTGAACCCACCAGCTCCAGTGTGTGTGGCTGGCGCTGTAGCCACTGAGCTACAGGTGCCAAGCCGTTGCCTCAGTTTTTCTATTTTAGTAGAGGTGGGGTCTCACTTTTGCTTAGGCTGGTGTGGAACTCATGACCTCAAGCAATCCACCCAGCTTGGGCTCCCAAAGTGCTAGGATTACAGGTGTGAGCCACCATACCTGGCCTTATGTCAAAATTTGTACTTACCTATATTGTCGTTCTTTGGTCTTACTTTTTCTCACTTACTTGCTTCAAGATCGGATTTATACTTAAGACCAATTTCTTTTGTAGGCTTCATGAACAATTGACTGAGTCAGAACAGGCTGCCCAGTGTTACATCAAGTATATCCAAGATATCTATTCCTGTGGGGTATGTATCATAGCATAAGAATGATGTTGCTGATCTTATTATCATCCTCTCAGTCATTTGTTTTCCCCTTCTAGGAAATAGTGGAACACTTAGAGGAAAGCACTGCCTTCCGCTATCTGGCCCAGTATTATTTTAAGTGCAAGCTGTGGGATGAAGCTTCAACTTGTGCCCAAAAGTGCTGTGCGTTCAATGATGTGAGTGTCCCTTCCTTAATAAAAGGTTTGGGTTTTAAGATAGAACATTTGATTTTTAGCATGAGCTGCTGAGTGGAACGCAGATAATAACATAAGTAGAAACCCTACCTTGATATGTGGAACTTGTTTATCACTATCTTAATAACCTATTTGGAGAAAAGCTTTGGGCATATTTTCAAACAGTTGCCTAACTTCATTTCAGACCCGGGAAGAAGGTAAGGCCTTACTCCGGCAAATCCTGCAGCTTCGAAACCAAGGCGAGACTCCCTCCACTGAGATGCCTGCTCCCTTTTTCCTTCCTGCTTCACTCTCTGCTAACAACACTCCCACACGCAGAGTTTCTCCACTCAACTTATCTTCTGTCACACCATAGTTGGCTGCTTTCAAGCCAGCACATTGCTAGACCCATCTTAAGCCTTACCTCCATGTATAGAACGGTCACATCTGTTCTTCCAAGGACCACATCTACAGATGGAAACAGCTCCATGGTGACAGTTTATATAAATCATCTTCGGAAGCAGATTGACAGAATACTGGCAGGAAGACATTGTCTTTTGCCAGGTAGAAGCATTTCTATCTCCCTACTGTCAAAGAGTGGCTTTGGATCTTGGGCTCTTCTCAAGAGCCACACACGCCCCCCAAATAATCTTTTTACAGCACTTTAGCACAGGCAATGCTACAGGAATAAAGTTTTAATGCTGCAAGTGGGAGAGAGGAAAGGGAGAAAAGTTAACCACTCCACCTTCTGCTGGCAGTAGGGGCACCAAGTTACCCATTAGGATAATGTAAAATGTATAGAAATAACCTTGCTCTTAGATTTGCTGAGCATAACCCCCATTTCTGATGTCAGAGATTTAATTGGAGTGGAGCTATACATTCATACTTACTCTATCTAGGATTGAGGAGGAGTCTTCTAAAAGCTTTCAAAGTACTTTGCTAGATTTAGATAGAGGGCAAAACATGGCTATCGTGTTAGCTGTACTCCTACCACAGGAAAGCAAGGAGACAGGATGCAGATAATTTCATAGACATTTTGGAAATAACTTTTGTGACTATAAAGATAAGCATAAACTCACTTCAAGATCGTCTGTTTTAACAAATTTTCAGTGTAATTGCCTGTTTTTTTTCCCTCTTATCTCCTACAGAATATTTTTTCAGCTTTTATCTATCTAGACAAGGTAAAGCATTCTTGTGGTACCTCTGGAGGATTTCAGGCCTGTGCATCTTGTGTTCAGTAGGAGGTAATATGCTATGACTGTAATGTCTGCTGTAGTGAATTTGTATAGTAGATGGCTATAGATCATTCTGAGCTCAGAGTCCACCCTTCATCCTTATTCCCAGGACATATGTGTTATCTATTCATCTCCTTAGGTGTGATATCTCATTTTCTATTAGGGAAGATTTAGAATACCTAATGCCACTTGAATTCATTTCTTATTAAGCCTTCTTAGACTAGCTGTATACTAGTTACTGGTCTCCACTGCTGTGCCTATGCAAGGCTCCCATGGGCCAGAATGATGTTTGATTCTCAATTTTTCTGTCCTTTTTTATAATTTCTTTTAATGGTTTTGCTACATTTGGAATTCAAATAAAAATGTGAACAATAATGTCTTTAATATAATTTTCTTGTGTGCATAGAAACCATATAAGTAAAAAAACATGAGATTACATAGGTGATTATAATACAAAAGAGGAAAAACAACTAGTGTCTGAATATTGCATTCTAGATAGAGTTCTAGGTATATGGGAAAGCTTAAAAGAGACCTGTTTCTTAAGGTGTCTTGGGGCAATGACTGCTTTTCTCCTTTCCCACAGCCTTAGTACTTTTTGCCAAAAGGCCCAGATTTAAGAAAAGGAGAGTGCCTTGAGCGCAGGATCCGGGTATAAGGGCTGCAGTCTGTTGAGCTTTGGCAGGTAGGCGTCCGAGGAAGTAAGTTTCGAAGGAATGGTTTTTTCCCTGGGGGTTGGTGGTTTGGTTGCTGGTTTTCCTGGTTGGCACCAAGGCGCTTTTTGGCAGAAGCCTGGCCTTGGAGTTTTAGTACAGTATGATACTGCTCAGCAATGCATGCTGCCTTCTTCCGAAGGTCCAGTTTCACTAGCATCATGTTATTCTGCAGCTCAGCCAGGGTCTGGTCCTAAGGAAATTTAATAAAGTTACAGAAAATACTTTTCTGTCTGGCATATTAGAGTAACACGAAAGCAAGGTAATACTTTTTTTTGAGACAGTGTTTATTGTGTTGCCCTCTGTAGAGTGCCATGGTATCATAGCTTACAGCAACCTGAAACTCTTGGGCTACAGCAATTCTTTTGCCTCAGCATCTCAAATAGTTAGGACTATAGGCGCCCACCACCACATTTAGCTATTTTTTAGAGATGGGGTCTTACTCTTGTTCAGGCTAGTCTTGAACTCCTGAGCTTAGGCAGTGCACCAGCCTTGTTCTCCCAAAGTGCTAGGATTACAGGTGTGAGCCACTGCGCCCAGGCTGAGGCAAGGTAAAATACATATACCATTAATTACCAGTTATGACTCAACTATTTCTTCAAAGATTAACTTGTTATGGTCAAAGCTCATAACTGAACAGAATATTTTTTTTTTCCAGAGTATTTTCTTTTGAAACCAAAACATATAAGAAGGACTATCTACCTTTGTACCTAAAAATTACTTAGTATAGTTCCTGGTACTTAGTAAATGCTTAAAAAAAAAAAAAGAGTATTTATTTTTATATTGTAAGGAAATATGTTCAGCCTAAAAATATTTACTTTTCTCTTATGGTCCTCATTCCCCTTCTCACATACATACATTGGAGTAGGCTGGTAGGAGACAAGGGGATAGATAGGATGTCCTAACCTGTTTGATTAAGATGTCATCACAAGCAGTCAAGGCTTGACGAAGTTTTCCTGCCCCAGTGCTGTGGCAACAGGCTCTTTCTGCTGACTGGAGAGATTCACCGAGTTTCTGAAGCTCTGTCCGAAGAAGCCTTATATTCTGAAAAAGGGACTAGGAATCAGATTGTAGCCAAGATCAACTAGGATAGAGATCTGGAGGGGTGGGTAGCCATTAGAAGAGAAGTAAACTAGAAAGGCTAGCTGAATTAAGTATCCACTCTCCAGAACTGCACAAAAACCTATCTTGTTTTCACATGAGCCAGTGATAAAGAATGTTGGATTACTTACTTTAGGTAAGAGCTTTGATAGCAGAGACAGGTAATTACCTTCTGGCCCTCCTCTAACTTCTTGTCCACATCAGTGGTGAAGGGTTTGGCTGAGGATGGTGGTTCTAACATTTTCTGATACTTGTGCAGTTCTGAGAGAAGAAAATAAAATGTTAATATGTAGGTTTTCTAGCCTTGGACTTACCTCTTTAATTGAGGAGCTTGCAGCAGGCGGCACCAGTGGCTTAGTGAGTAGGGCTCCGGCCCCATATACTAAGGGTGGCAGGTTTGAACCCAGCCCCAGCCAAACTGCAACAAAAAATAGCCGGGTGTTGTGGTGGATGCCTGTAGTCCCAGTTACTGGGGAGGCTGAGGCAAGAGAATCGCCTAAGCCCAAAGAGCACTCTACCAAGGGCAATAGAGTTAGACTCTGTCTCTTAAAAAAAAAAAAAAAAAAAAAGGCCCGGTGCCTGTGGCTCAAGCGGCTAAGGCACCAGCCACATACACCTAAGGTGGTGGGTTCGAATCCAGCCCGGGCCCGCCAAACAACAATGATGGCTGCAACCAAAAAATAGCCGGGCGTTGTGGTGGGCGCCTGTAGTCCCAGCTACTTGGGAGGCAGAGGCAGGAGACTTGCTTGAGCCCAGGAGTTGGAGGTTGCTGTGAGCAGTGAAGCCATGGCACTCTACCCAGGAGGACAGCTTGAGGCTCTGTCTCAAAAAAAAAAAAATAGGAGCTTCAGCAAATATAAAAAGTTAGGCCATGTACATCCTAGAATAACAGCTCAAAGGGATGTAGCTCACAGTTGAGGAAATTATGCTGGAGTAGGAGGCAGAAGGCCCAGGTTTGAGTAACAGTTCTTCCCTGAACCACTGTTGTGCTTCCTTCTCTCAGTCCTCACCTACAGTGGTGGAGTTTAGCTCTACTTCACACTGTTGTAGTTTAGCTTTAACATCCTGGAGCTGCTGGGTAGAGGAAGAACCTGCCAACCTTTGTGACCGTCGTAAGGGGATTTCAGACCCTGATTGCTGATGGGCCACTGGCTGTCTGGCTTCCTGCAAGAGAGCTTCTAGCTCTTCAATCTTTTCATCCCGCTCCTAGGAGGGAAGCAGAGAGTACAGTTCTGTCCAGAGTCAGACAGATATTGCATGATCAGATGGCTGAACAAATATGCTTCTTGACAGGCCAAGGTGGGTGGTTTGCTTGAACTCAGGTATTTGAGATCAGCGTGAGCAAGAGTGAGACCCTGTCTCGAAAAATAGCCATGCATTGTGGTGGGCGCCTGTAGTCCCAGCTACTTGGGAGGCAGTGGCAAGAGGATCACTTAAGCCCAAGAGTTTGAGATTGCTGTGAGCTATGATGTCAGCACTCTACCAAGGGTGTCAAAAAAAAGCTTCCTAACACTCATTAGTAAAAGCCTGTTTGTTAGCACTTATACCTTCTCCTGACCAAATAAATCCTTAATTTGCCAAACTTAGATTGAATATCAACAAAGCATTAAGGGAAATGTGAGTTATACATTCCTGCCCTTACTGGAGTTTATAAAATCTATTTACTTCAGGCAAGCTAGCAATAGAAATCTGAGCAGCTGATTGAGGTTAATCCAGGGCAACTTACTTGAATTTCCTCTTGGTAAAAACTCGTCAGTGACTCCTTGAGGATCTTTAGTTTATCTTCATACATTTCCTCTAATAGTTCCTTTTGGGTGTCTAAGTGTTCACTGTTAAAAAATGAAAGCAGAGAATTGAGTGAAAATTTTGAGGCATGAACTTGCAAGACGGATCTCGAGACACAACTCCATCCCAGTCCCCACTTCCCACCCTCTATCCCAGGTGACAGAGCAAAAGAGGTAATTCAGCCAATACCTGCACCATTGTTCTCGTTGTTGCATCTGGTCCACCATCTCATTGCAAATTTCTTCACGGAGCTGCATTTCCAGCTGCAACTTTTCCTGTCGTTCTTTCAAGAGCAAGGCTTTCATAGCTTCCACTACCTGTAGGAGTTCCTAAGAGACACACACACGTGGGAGGCCATCATATAGATGCCCATGCTCTAAAAAGGTACAAACCCACCTAGAAAGCAGCATAGAAAATATTAGCCATTAAGTGGCTATACCTCCTTGCTATACATGGAGATGTCGGCTTCATTTTCAATGTCATCATCAAGGCCTGGGTCTGCCTTAGCTCCTTTCTCTAAGCTGGGAGATGGCCGAAGACCGTGTTCCTTGATGAATGAATGCAGCGATGGGAATCCCAGTTGCACAGGTGGGGTGTGCACAAGCTGGTGGGAGTGGGGAGAAGAACCTTAATTGACTCAAAAACTAGTATGGTACCTAGATTTCTTTTTTTTTTTTCTCCTTTTCCCCTTTGCCCCACCCCGACCTAATAGCTTTCTTAAAGTTATCAGTTCAAAGCTAGGCATGGTGGCTCATGCCTGTAATCCTAACACTCTGGGAGGCTGAGATAGGTGGGATCATTTTAGCTGCTGAGTTGGAGACCAGCCTGAGCAAAAGCAAGACTCCATCTCTACTAAAAATAGAACAATTACCATGTTGCCCCCAAAATAAGACCTACCCCAAAAGTAAGCCCTAGCAGGATTTCTATGCATTTGTTAAATATAAGCCCTACCTCGATAATAAGACCTAGTGATGGGCATGCATTTCGGCACAGAGCAATAAGGAAGACTGAATACCGTTTATCTGCCACAGATCTTTTCTCCGAGCCATTTGCACTTGTGTGGGTGTGCGTGTAGTAACTGCTGCGGTTGCAGGCATCCTATTGTGTACGTGCGAACAGCTAGGGGAAAGGAGTTCATGCATCACTAGCACCAGCCCCACCAAGAAGGTTGGCTCCCCCTGTCAGGTTCCAGAAGATGACGACTTAACTGTATTTGAATAAATGTAGATTGTTGTATTATACTTAATAAAAATAAGACATCCCCTGAAAATAAGCCCTAGTGTGTCTTCTTGAGAAAAAATAAATATAAGACAGTGTCTTATTTTGGGGGAAACATGGTAGCTGAGTGTTATGGCAGGCGCTCACAATCCCAGCTACTCTGGAAGATGAGGCAAGAGGATTGCTTGAGCCCAAGAGTTTGAAGTTGCTGTGAGCTATGATAGCACAACACTCTACCCAGGGTGGCAGAGTGAGACTGTCTCAAAAAATAATTTACTAGTTAAATAAAGTTACCAGCTCAAAGTGAACATAACCCTCACACCCCTAACTTCTCACCTGGCTAGCAATGGCTGAAAACTTGGCCACATGAAGAGTCTCGTCATAGGTAGATGCACAGGGATTCACATTGACAATCATGCAAGAACGGCCTCGGCCCGTGAAGAAGCCTTGGAACACTCGAGTCAGCTTGCTGTCACGGAAGGGAACCAGGTTCTGCTTTGACCTGTGAGAGAGTCATAGAAAACAGAGCTATTAGCAGAACTCAAGCCCACGGAGTATCCTAGCACTGTCAGTAGTGGTAACTAGGAAGCCTGTTAGCAAACTACAAAGCCCCAGGCCCTCCCAGCTTTCAGCTTACAGTTAAAAGCTCACCTGTTCTGGTTTTGGCGCAGGGCAGTGATACAGCGGCCCAGGGTATGCAGAGAAGTGTTAATGTTTCCTGCTTCCTTCAGCCGTTCACCACTCTTCTGATCTTTGCAGCGCTCTGAGCCAGCCAGATCACAGAGTGACAACCTAGAATGATGCACATACATAAAGACCTCACATGTATGAGTCTTCCAGCCCTTTGTATAGTTCTGGAGGGGGAGAGCCCACTAAAAATCTCTATACAGAGGAAGGAGAAAAATTAATTCCTCTGAGGACCTCTTTCATGCTCCCCAAATTATCCTTTACAGTCAAGAAGCCCAGAGTTCTAAATTGAAAAACTTACTCGCTGATCTTAGGGACTATATCCCCTTCCCCCTGAAGGTGCAGGATTCGGATTGAGAAGATGCTATGACTGGAAGTTAAAAGAGAAAAGTCATTCACATCTTTCATGACCAGGCAGAAGACTAATATTTCCTTGGAACACAGTGAAGGGTTTATTTTCATAATCCACTCACCTGCGGCTAGAGTTCTGGTTCAGGTGGGTACTGGCAAAACTCTGGTTCTTACGACCAACCTTCAGGAGTTTCCAGGCCTCCTCAGCATCTTGAACGTGAATCCAATTGAGGTCTGAGATCAAAGGAGAGAAGGACATAAGATAGAAACACCCGACTCTTTTCCTAGTCTTTCCCCAATTCTCTAGGGTTCATACCAGCCTCTTTCACATTCTCATACCTTTCACATAAGGGTTGCCATTTTGATCCTCACATAGACGCAGAGTCTGCCTCTTGCGCTGCTGGCTAGGTGGTTCTAACAGGTCATAAAGCAGTTCATTGTAAATCTCAAAGAAGGAGATCCAGATGGAGAAGTGAATATCTGCTGGTACACTTACTGGGGCAGTGTCTGGCTGAGCCCATCGGTGACTTGTTTCTGAAGAAGAAGCCAATGTACAGAGCATCAACCCTAGGAATAGTCCATCTGCCCTTTGGCCTGCAGGGGCTTTGGAAGGCAGAGCTCAAGTTAAAAATTCTGGTCTGTACCAGCAGCTGTTTGGAACAGGGAGTGGGTTCCTACTATTATTTGGCTCAGAATCCAGTCATGATACTTACCATCTAACTGGCTACTGCTGGTAAATTGACTGATGGAAGAGAGCCCAGCAACACCACTGTCAAAGGTGGAGCTGGTACCCATCCGACTTTCAATGTAGACACTTCTCTTCAAGGAAGTGGATAGCTCCTCCTGGAGGAGCACAGGGAAAGGGTAAGCACAAAACTTACACAAGATACATACCTTCCTGCCTTTGCCTCCATGGATACTAACACTACCTCTTGGAGGCCTCCATTTAGCAAGGAAAGCTTCTTCATTTCCTCCTGTCGCATCTGCTTGCTGTCTAGCCAGATGACCTCATTAGAGAACATGGGCTTCAGATCAGGTGTTGGATGAAGTTGGCCTTGGAGGCTGTTGAAGATCAGAGTCAGGGACCGTGGAAGGATCCCTCCATCCTTGATGGTACCTGGAGGCATACCAAAGATGGATACCAAAGAGGCAAATGCCTTTCTCCCCCTGAGAGACTGAGAACATCAAAATTTAGACACATCACAAGGCCAATAAATAATCCTGTGAAGCATTCCTACTCACCTTGAATTGTGTGGGTTTTCCCTGAGTTGGTGACTCCATATGTGTAGATGAGCCAATTCTGCCCTTTGAGTACATCTTTTACCATCTCCTTCACGGTCAGGTTGAAGAAAGATGCCTGTCCCACTTCTGGCCCAAAGATCTAGAGATAGACCCAGTTTCTTAGAGGCCTATCCACTTGCCTCCTGAGCAGTCATAGCTGATGTATCTCTTCCTGGGTGATTTGCTCTAGAAACTGCTCAAGCAGCTTCTTCCTGCAATGCTGTCAGCTATTCCCTAAACACTAATGATTCAACCATTCTCTGCTAGTCCATCTTTTGCTCAAATTAACACATACTTAAGTAATGCTATGCACTAAGCCTGATGCTATACACACACAATGGGACAATAAATATAATGGTCACAAGTGTGGGTTTTGGAGATGGGTGGAACTTGACTCTAGTTTCATGGCTTTAGCAATATTACTTTTCACTGAGCCACAGTATCCTTGTCAGGAGAATAGGGATCATAAATTTCAGGAAATTAATTCACATAAATTACTAGATACATTGACTTACATATATCTAGGGCATATACAAAACTGTAGTTGTGCATATACAAGGAACTCAGTCAAGTAAGGACTAGCTTACTCTCTACAGAGTGAATAAAGGTACTGGAAAATGTTGGTCCCTTATTCACAGACCAGTACCTCCATACCTGGGAAAACGTAAACCTGTGAGTGGCTTGACCAATGCCTCGCTCATTGCTCTTCAGGGCAAAAGAGTCCTTAGGTGCTTGTAGAACAAGTGTCTCTACATTCTCAATATGGACACAACCCTGAGAATGGGGAAAATAAAATTGTTACAGAAGGTAACATTCCTGGCAATCTTTTTCTATACTGCATCATTCCATCCTAAATCCTCCCTCCTTAGACACTCACCTGGTCCTCTTGTCGTTCCAACTCTAAAGGTAACAAGGGTCTGACCCTCAGGTATACTTTCACCTTCTCTGTGCTGTCCTCAGATGTAACCTGTGGCAGAATTCCAACCCAGAACCACAGATTAATTTTATTTTTTTATTTTTATTTTTATTTTTTTTGAGACAGAGCCTCAAGCTATCCGCCTGGGTAGAGTGTCATGGCTTCACAGCTCACAGCAACCTCCAACTCCTGGGCTCAAGCAAGTCTCCTGCCTCCGCCTCCCAAGTAGCTGGGACCACAGGC